CTTCTATATCTTCCAAGAAGAATGTTTCAGAACGTTTAAAAGAAGAGGTATGCAAGTCATACATCAGTAAAAGAGCTTCCTTTTTGTTTTTTTATCCAGTTTCCTTTTTACTATTCTATATATATTCTATATATAGGGAAATTCTAAAAATCCTAACTTGTGTTTAATCCATTGTTATAAACAATTTTAACCACAGTTAAATACTCATCTCTTATAAAATAATAACAGTAACAATAATATAATAATAATTAATTAATTTCTAAATATTCCTTTTTAAATAAGAAAATATATTCTTAATTACCTATCACCTAATAAATCTTATCTATTATGATTAGATAATTATTTAAAACCTTTATTAATTAACTACATTATTATATAATCTCCTCAATTAATTAAAATCATAATATATAATCAAAATATGTTAAAATAAATAAGATAGATATTTATCTCAAATAATTTCATAATTTTTTTAATTAATAAAAATACTCATAATTATTTTTAAAAAAATTGATATATTTATAAAATTTATTTAATTAATTAAAATATTCTTTTAATAATTTTAGAAAATTTAAGATGTAGTAAATGAGACTTGTGGAGGGGCTTCAAGCACACATACGAGGAGAGACAATGTAAAGGAGCATTTGGTGCGCACCCCATGCAAGCATGACGCGACACGTTTTGCAGAAAAGAGTTCCTTTTTGGTGTTGGACTGTGCCTACGCAACCATAAAGGAGCCTTTCTGAAGGCGAGGAAGTGTTCATTTCCTTTGCTCTCTGATCTGCACGAATGTGAGGGTCTAGTGTAGAACAAGACTCTAAAGTGGATTGAAACTCTTAAACCAGAAGCAGTTACGTTTGACACAGATTGTACATGTGTAACAGAGTGATTCTCAGTATTCATAGCACCCAAAGTGATTTATCTATGGAACCATTATATGTTAATAAAAACTTGGTGATTGATAAAAAGGTTAGGTTTACTCGTATACTAGTAAATTCAGTCGCTCATAAGTCGGATTATGCATCTGAATTTCATGTTTATTTAGGGTCGACTTTGAGTGTTTTTTTTCTTTTTTTTTTTATTTCAAGAGAAGTGAGAAAATGATGATATATAATTATTTGAATATTATTTATTATTCAAGTTGTTAAACCTAAAAGTGTAAAACACATAAAAAACTAAACACATAATTGTTAAAAAATGATTAAACGTAAATTTGTACTAGATTATGAATTATTATTAGAAATTATTACACATTAAAAAAAATGGTTCGATAATAGTGTTGAAAGGTGGAAGTTGACCATTTAATTTCGAGATTTTAACAAAATACAATAAGTCACGATTTAAAAAATAAATAAAAGGAAGATTAAATAAATTAAAAATAAAGGAAAAAGGATAAAGTTAGAGGTGACTCTTATTTGTAATTTTTTATTAATATTTATGGAAGTTCACATCAAGAAAAAAGAAAAAATAATTAACAATATATTATATTTTCCTCTTCATAATTAATATTATTGATTTATTTTATTAAAATTATGGTAGATTTTTGTTGAATAGTAAGAAAAATAATTATTCATTAATTATTCATAACTAATTTATTTTCTCTAATATATTTTTATATAATTTAATTATGTAAATTTTATTTTTATATTATATAGACTAAATAACATTTTTATGATACCCTTTAACAATAGAACTTTGGACAATCATCCCACAGCCCATACTCAGAACTACTTTTATGTTGATCTACATAACTATAGTTATTGTATTCCACCTTGTGTAATATGACAGATTATTAATGACGATGATAATAGTGTCGGTGGATGATGATATTGACAGTTATGACAGAAATAATGATAATAATAATAATAATAATAATAATAATAATAATAATAATAATAATAATAATAATAATAATAATAATAATAATAATAATAATAATAATAATAATAATAAT